CCCCCCCCCCCCACCTTCCCCGCTGTGTTCTCTTTAAGACCTCATACTTGTTTTTGTGTCTTCTGAGCTGGTCTTCTCATTTTCTTTTCTGTATTGTTTTTCTCTTAACCTTTTTTGCTTTTCTTTCTGGGATACTGTATACGTACATTTTTACTTAATCTCCTTGTTTCCAGTGTGGTACCACTGGCCCCAACTGTACCTGATATCCACAGAGTAGCTCTATTTTACCCTTTTGAGGGGATAAGTCCTAGAATCTGCCCATGGTGGGGATTTAATCTCTTTTTCAAGAGAATTTCAGTCAGTCTTACTGTTTTAAGCACACCTTTCACCACCGTTTTCTACCTATCTGGTGCTGCCAATTCCTGAGCTGCTTGGGAATTCTGCATTGTAAATTGGTTTGCTTTATGGCTTTCCCCAGTACCAGGTTGGGAATCTGCCTTCTTGGTTAGGTAAGTCAGTTACCATTTCTCCACCTACTTTTTAAATTTTTTTTTTTTCAACGTTTATTTATTTTTGGGACAGAGAGAGACAGAGCATGAATGGGGGAGGGGCAGAGAGAGAGGGAGACACAGAATCGGAAACAGGCTCCAGGCTCTGAGCCATCAGCCCAGAGCCAGACGCGGGGCTCGAACTCACGAACCGCAAGATCGTGACCTGGCTGAAGTCGGACGCTTAACCGACTGCGCCACCCAGGCACCCCATCCACCTACTTTTTAGCTGCTAAAATTTTGTGTTGGTAGTTTCCTCTCCTGTTGTCTTTGTCCATGTGGGTTTATGCCTTAAAAAATGTTGTTTATTCATTTACTTAAAAAAAATAAACAATAGAGGGGCGCCTGGGTGGCGCAGTCGGTTAAGCGTAACAATAGAAATTTATTGTTCACAGTTCTGGAGGCTGGGAAGTCCAAGATCGAGGCACTGTCATGGTTGTCTGCTAGTGAGGTCCCTCTTGGTTCATAGCTGGTACCATCTCACGGTGTCCTCACATGGTGGAAGGGCTTATTTAATGAGTTTTAGGAAGGAGCAAAAGTAAACATCTTTCCATCTCTTTAATTTTCTTTAATGAATTACTTTATTAAGGTGAAAGATCAGATTTTTTTATGCATGCAACTTTATAAATTATTGTTGAACTCAGTGAATACAAAAGTTTATGGATTAAATATAAGGAAAAAGCTTAGCTATGAAAGATTGAAGCAATTCCTTCCAGAGCTAAGAGAGCAATTATTTAGTGAGTAAATGTCCCTGAATATATTAGATGTGTTTATAAAGGTAAGTATTAAAGTGTTCCAAAACATGATGGTTATGTAGTCTCAGATACTGTCTATATCTCTATTTTTGTTGGTAGGATAAAATACAGAGTTCTGGTCAGAACAGTAAAGTTCATTATTCTCACTCTGCTTCTGTTTAAAATCACTGATGACTTCCTCTTAGATTTAAATAGATTCTTTTCAGACCATTTCCCTCCCTTCTTCACACTTGCCTTCCCGACCCCTCTGCCCCTCATTCTCCATCCACCCATTTATTGCCTCAGTCTCTGCTTTCTGGGAGCAACAGCACATACTGTGTGAGGTGTGCTGACTCTCCTCTCTAACTCTCCTCCATCCCTGGGTTTCCTGCATCCTTTAATTTTATAAATGAAGAACCAAGCCTAAGAGAGGTAATAATGACTTTTTCCAGGTCATATAATTTAAGTTCAGCTAAGTAGAATTAAGGATCAGTGTTGTATTGTTCCTATGAGTATGCCTGAATACTTAGGTACAAATTTTAGAATAAAACATTAAGATACAGGGAAGAAATAAAACATTTAAGTCTTTGAAGTTAGTCTATCATAGGAATATAGTTGAATATAAGTATTGTTGAATCAAAAAAGATACATCTGCACAGCAAAGGAAACCATTAACAAAGTGAAAAAGCAACCTACTGAATGAGGGGAAAGATTTGAAAATCATATATATGAAAAGGGGTTAATATCTAAAATATATAAAGAACTTGTACAACTCAGTAGCAAAAAAACAAGCTGACTTAAAAAATGGGAGAGAATCTGAATACACATTTTTCCAAAGAAGACAATACAGATGACTAACATGTACATAAAAAGGTTTTCAGCATCAGTAATCAGGCAAATGCAAACCAAATGAGATATCACCTCATATCTGTTAGAATGGCTGTTATCAAAAAGATAAGAAAATAACAGGTGGTGGCAAAGATGCTGAGAAAAGGGAATTGCTGTGCATATGTTGATGGGAATGTAGATTGCAGCTCACTGTAGAAAATGGTATGGGGTTTCCTCAAAAATTTAATAGAATTGCCATATGATCCTGCAGTTCTACTTCTGGATATTTATCCAAAGGAAACAAAAACACTAACTTGAAAAGATATCTGCACTCCCATGTTCATTGGGCATTATTTACAATAATCAAGATGTGGAAGCTATCCAACTGTCCATTGATGGATGATGGATAAAGAAACTGGTGTGCATGCATTATTCAGCCCTCAAAAAGAATGAAAATTTTGCTATTTGCAGCAACATGGATGGTCCTTGAGAGCATTATGCTAAATGAAATAAGTCAGAAATAGACAAATAACTGTATGATCTCTCTTATATGTGGAATCTTGAAAACAACAACAAAACAACCAAGTTCATAAATAGAATGGATTGGTGGTTGCTAGAGGTTGGGATTGGGATGCAGAATGGGTGAGAATGGTCAAAGTGTACCAGTTTCTAATTTTAAATAAGTAAGTCCTGAAGATACATTGTACAGCATGGTGACTGTAGGGGTGCCTGGGTGGCTTCATCGGTTGAGCATACTACTCTTGATTTTGGCTCAGGGTCGTGAGGTGAGCTCCGTGCTGAGCGTGGAGCCTGCTTAAGATTCTCGTCTCTTCCTCCCCCACTCACGTGTGTGCACATGCTCTCTCTCTCCTCTCTCCCTCTAAAAAACAACGACATGGTGACTATAGTTAAAAATAATATATTGCACTTTTGAGGGGCACCTGGGTGGCTCAGTTGGTTGAGCATCCGACTTTGGCTCAGGTCATGATCTTGTGGTTTGTGAGTTCAAGCCCCACGTGTGCTGACAGCTCAGAGCCTGAAGTCTGCTTCAGATTCTGTGTCTCCCTCTCTCTTGGCCCCACCCCTGCTTGTGCTGTGTCTCTCTCTGTCTTTCAAAAATGAATAAACATAAAAAAATTTTTTTTTAAATGACATATTACACTTTTGAAAGTTGCCTGGAGTAAATCTTAAAACTTCTTGTCACAAAAAAAAATTTTGTAACTATGTATTGTGACAGATTAGTTAACTAGACTTAGGGTGGTGATCATGTCACAGGATATACAAATGATGAATCAAGTTTACACCTGAAATTAATAATGTCATATGTCGATTATATATCAATAAAAAAGGATAATATCTACATCCTATTCACTTTTTGTATGTTTTAAGTTTAATAGTTCTTATTTAGAAAGACGGGGCTCCTGGGTGGCTCAGTCGGTTGAGCGTCTGACTTCAGCTCAGGTCATGATCTCGCAGTTGACGAGTTTGGGCCCCGCGTTGGGCTCTGTGCTTACAGCTCAGAGCCTGGAGCCTGCTTCAGATTCTGTGTCTCCCTCTCTCTCTGCCTTTCCCACGCTCATGCTCTGTCTCTCTCTGTCTCAAAAATAAAGATAAACATTAAAAAAAAATTTTTGTTTTTTTTTTTTTTTAGAAAGAAAGGTAAGGAGCCCCTGGGTGGCTCAGTCAGTTAAGCATCTGACTCTGGCTCAGGTCATGAGCTCATGGCTCATGGGTTTGAGCCCTGCTTCAGGCTCTGTGCTGACAGTTTGGAGCCTGGAGCCTGCTTCAGATTCTGTGTCTCCATCTCTCTGCCCTCCCCCACTTGTCATCTGTCTCTCTCTCTCAAAAATAAAGAAACATTAAAAAAATTTTTTAAAAAAGGGAGGTAAGGAATTGATAAGACTTTGCCTGTGATTCTCGATATCAGATTTTATTATTGGAATCAAGAATTAAAAAAGATCTTTAACCACTGAAGTCTCTGTATCTGGTACTTAAACATATGTGTTTTACAGGTAAAGCTGAAGACTATAAATGAAAACTGGAAAAATCTCTCCAGTTCTCAAAAGCAAGTAAGTAGTATGGTTTTAGTCTCAAGTGTCTAGTTGGAATATCTGTGAGAGAATATATTAGGGCAAAGCTTTATTCATGTGAAAACAACTTTATATCACTAGTATCACAAAGTATTTTAAAATTATTTTTATATCTTTAGGACCAGTTCAGCTTTTTTCTTTTGGTAGTTTTTAACTACAAATAAAAAACAATGTCACTCATAACTTAAAGTGTTCACTCTATCCAGTGACAATCTCACCTTGCCTCAGCTCCTTTCCCACATCCCAAACCCCGAAATTGTAACAACTTAATTATCTTTATCTCAGCCTTTTTCTCATCTTTTATATCAAAAAAAAATTCCTTCCTTAGTCCCCCATTATACATGTAGAATAATAGGTGATTTCTAGAGTATATGGAAGCATTCCAGAAATTAATTGTAAAGATTCTTCTAAAAGAAATTATTTTAACAGTTACACTTTTTCTCAGGTGTATATTCAACTTGCTAATGATGATAAAATTCGTTATTATAATGAAATGAAATCTTGGGAAGAACAGATGCTTGAAGTTGGACGAAATGATCTTCTACGTCGCACAGTAAAGCACCAAGCAAAAAATGGCATTGAAGAGTATTAAAATAGAAGATTGAGTTATGTTCATAATGGATAGACACAAGAAACCAATTAGGTCTCCATATCTGATGCTGTTGAAAATTAGAAAGGATAAAGTTGGTGAACATTTTATATTTAATTCCTTTTTCTTTAGCCCATGGACTTCTGCCAGTTCAATACATTTTGTATTAGTATCTTGCTTTGGAAAACCCAAACAGATAAAAAGTTCATGTGAAATTTACTTTGTGTTAAGGAACTACTGAGAATCACAATAATCCATGAAATGCAGTAGTGAATCATTTTACCTTTGATAAAGGTAAATCAGACTGTGAAGTTTTTCTTACTTGATGACTGGAAAGAGTATTCTTGTTTCCTTATATATATATGGAGGCAGGAGTTTCATATTCAAAAGTGCCCCAAATTGTAGAAGTCATGGTGTTTTATGATACAGTTGTACATGTTTAAAAGAGGGGTGCCTGGGTGGCTCAGTCGGTTTTACATCTGATCTTGGTTTCGGCTCGGGTCATGGTCTCACAGTTCATTAGTTTGAGCCCTGCATCCGGCTTTGCTCTGATGGTGTGGAGCCTGTTTGGGATTCTCGCCCTCCCTCCCCCCCCCCCCGCCCCGCCCTTCCCTCACCTGTTCTCTCTCTCTGACCCTCCCCGCTCATACCCTCTCTCTTTCTCTCTCTCTCAAAATAAAAGAGCACCCAGTACTCATCTATGTAAATGCCAATTCCTAGGTATAATTCATATATTCAGAATTGATAGTTGTACTTGCAAGGAATTGCTGGTTTCAGTGCAACTTTTTATAAAAGGGATGGAGAGATTTATAAACGTTTTCCTTATTGCCTTGTTTCCTAAAGTAAAAACCAAGAAATTGTGTACCAAATCTATGCATATTGTTTTATATTGCATAGAATAAAAATTTTAAATGTTTCCTAATTATATGTTTTAGGGTGAAAGATTCATTTTGCAAAAATTTTTCCTGTCTTCTTTTTTAAGTAGGGATATGTATTCTGAATTATTTTCTCTGTCTCACATGAGTGTATTTATCCAGGAAGTAGACAACTTGTCTAGTATAAGTTTTAAAATGAGAGATCTAAAAAACAAAAGTCTCCAGTGTCTTTAGACTTGGAATTTAAACATTTTGTGTAACATATAAAAGCCCATATAAGGTATAGCCAACTCTGGTCTGTGGGCCAAATCCAGCCCAATGCCTGCTTTTCATGGCCTGTGGGCTAAGGATTGTGTTTACAGTTTTAAGTGGTTAAAAACAATTTTTCAAAACACACAAAAATTAAAAGAGATTTGGTGTCCATAAATGAAATTTTATTGGGACACAGTTGTACTTACTCTTTTCCTCATGGTTTATGGCTACTTTTGTGGAACAGTGTTGAATAGTTATTTCAGAGACTGTGTAGCCTGCCTAAAGCCTGCCTAAAATATTTACTATCTGACCCTTTACAAAGAAAGTTTGTCAACCTGTGGCCTTTAGTATAGACTAGTGTGACTAGTGTTCTATGTGTAAACTACTAGTGTCCAGTGTATAATTGTTAGTAATAGTTCTATAAAACTCTTTTCAGAGGTTGTTTTAGAATCTTTGTCACCATTATCTTAAGAGGAAAGAAGTCAAATCACTGAAGAAGCTAAGCAAAGTTGCTCCACAGTGTTAGCAAGGAAAATACTCTTTAGTTTCAAATTATATTAGTATAATAAAAAAGGTCCATATAGTGTGGGATGAGATTCTTTTAAATTATTTGTTATGGCTTAGTAAAAGCTTCACGAGCTTTCTAGTTAGTATATACCACATACCTTATCAACTTTTAGCATTTGTTTATCCTCTCTGGGGAGTCAAGCAAAGGTTTTCAAAATCTATACCACCTTTTGATTAAAATCATTCATCTTTCACCATCAGTTCACAGGAACAGGATAACTCAAAATTTATATGCACTTAATTTTATGCTAAATATGGAGAAAAATTGTAGCTTCTAAATCTCCAGAAAAACTCTGAAGATTTTTGTAGTTTCTATATAGAAAATCAGTACAAAGTCATGAAAAGATAGCTTGACAAAAGTAGGGACTGAAGAGAAAAATAGAACTTAAGAGGAAGAATAAGATTTAAACATATAAAGTTGGGTGTTTTCAAAGTTTTCCCTGTGGTTACAAATACAGGATGGTCTGCCATTAGTTAAATGGATATGCCATGAAAAAAAAACAGATACAGCGTGATTCTGAGGCTAGAAGGATTTGGGGAAAGAAGAGGAGGTACACTACTAGTGTCTATCAGTCTTTATTATTAGGGTTTCCAGGAAAGAATTAAGCCCTCATTCCCTGTGGCATCTAGAAAGGTACTGATTATGTACCATCTTGAGAATGGAGAAAGTCATCAGTGAAATAATTTACTGTGTTCTGTGCTTCACATGAGCCCAAGGAGCACATACGAGTCCGTGTTGATAGTACAATATTCATTGTAGAATGGGTAAGATAGAGAAATGAATTTTGTAAATATCTGCCTGGACAAATGTAGTACAAAACATATCTTCACAATTACCTTCTGGGCGCTTTTAACATTTAACTACCTACGTATGGTATTTTATACAGAACACATTCAAATCATATCTTTCCAAGTATATTGGGAAATCCAGTATCCGGTAAGTTCTCAAGTAGTTACATTCTCATATTGGAAAAAGAAGTATGAAACAGTGGCTAGAGCGGAACCACATTATGATAATACTTTATTGGGTATTGATAAAGTTGGGTATCATAAAATAATGATAATTTATTGGGTTTTCTTCATTTCTAAAAGAATGTTACTGTTAATACTTTAAATATTGGGATATCTGAGTCCACACCTTAATAAACTTCAGTACATGCGGAAGACTGGAATGCCATATACCAAATGCAATCTAGATTCACAGTATACACAGTTTCTGTTATAACTTTTAATTTTTTTTTATTTTTAGAGAAGGAGAGAGCAAGTGGGGGAGGGGGAGAGAAAGAGGGACAGAGGACCCGAAGTGGGCTCTTTGCTCACAGCAGACAGCCCCATGCGGGTCTCAAGCTCACAAACCGTGAGATCATGCGTGACCTGAGTCGAAGTCGGGCGCTTAACCAACTGAGCGACCCAAGTGCCCCACAAAGTTTCTATTATAAAGAACAGGCTCTTACTGGTCAATAACCAGTGGCCACTCATAAAAAGCCTTACTTTTGGGGCTTTTCTTAAGTTGCCCTAACAAAGTATTTGCTGTAGGAGGTACAGAAAGTGCTAGAGGGAAAGATGCTGAAGAAATGAAACAAAGTAGTGTTCACGCTGTTCTAAGCAGTTAGTCATAAAGAGATTTTTGTACTTTTGTTCATTGGAGTACCAATGTTGGGTTCTTGAAATAATTTGATGACAGGAGAGGGGGCGGTGTGATTACTTTCTGACATTTACTTAAAGGATATTGTGTGCACATTCAGCCTACTGTAATTGTGTAGTTTTGCTATTGTTTTTGGCTAACTCCTTTTTTGGAAATGCCATTTTAGAAGATACGCCATATGTTTTTATAATGGCTCTAAATGTGTATATTTAATTTGTAAATTAAAAAGGTATTACTGTAAGTGGATTTAAAGTAACCAGAAAATTTTGATTTTTTTCTGACATTCGCTGCACCTAAAATTAATCACCACCAGGTTGTGCTAAAACAACAGGAAGTTTTAGTATAGTTAACTGATGGTATCCATTATTTCTCTTAATGATATCAATATTCACTTTAAGAAAATTCTCTTCCTTACTTTTTTATTCTCTACCACTCTTTTCTTCATAGCACCAAGCTCTTACAGACAAATTTGAAAATGTTATTAAGCACAGATTCTGTGTGTTTTGCAATTTTAAAGCAGTAATATTCTTTTCTAAATTGAAGCTTTGGAAAGAATAAGAAAATAAACATTTATTATTTTGAATTTGTAAAACTCCAAACAGAAAGTAAAATTATACAAAGCTGCTGTTATCAGTCTCACATTTTTCACAAATAGAATACTTCTGACAATTGATTAAATCATTGATTGCATTTAATGGAAAATACATAAAATGCAAAACCTTTTTCTAATACATTTAAAATATTAAAAAAATTTACTGGATAAGGATCTAAATACTAAAATTGACCCTAAACAAGAATTTTGATTAAGCTAAACATTTTTCTCACAACATCATTCGAAATATTTTATATAAAATGGTTTCTGATTTACATATGTGATGTACAAGAAGATACTTGAGTTAATTCTTTTTTGCTGAATTTAGAATTTATCCAATTTCATTTCTCCTCCTGCCCCAAATCATGTATAAAATATGGACAGAAGGAAGGGAGTGCATGGTTTTGACACAGTGACCTTTTATTATACAGGCTGCCAACTACCAGCCTTCACATTAGAAAACTTGATTTGGTTGTACCCATCTCAAGGTCCTGTTTAAATTACTTGTTTAAACTGGAAATTTACTGCATTGAATTGGGTGGGATTAATGAGAGGAGGAATCCAAATTTGTTTATTAATCCTTCAGAAATTATTGAAGCATTATGAGCATTTTCTATGAGTTTTGGATTTTTTTTTTCCTCATTCACCCATCAGAACAGGACCTTAGTAGTTGTGTAACTAAGGTTTATACCCTGACTACAAGACTACTTAGGTGGGGGGAGTGGAGATTTGTTAAAAACATAGCAGTTTTCTCTTAATTTTGACATTAATAAATCTGATTATGTGTAAGCTTAGTATCAAATATAAATTAGACCTAAACAACTCAGGACATTTCCCCAAAAGTTATCTCCATCCTCAGTTTTTACTTTTGCAAAGCTCCTACTTGTCCTCTGTAACAAGAGCCTGAATGACAATTTGACTGAATGGTGAGATGTCATAACCTTTAGCTAATACTATTACTGATAGTATTATCTTGGATTCAGATGTGAAGTGTTCGTTTTTAAATGGAAAATGGGAATTGATTGTTGATGGACTTTGTTTTTATTTAAATTCTAATTGGTTAACATGTAGAGTAATACTTTTTTCAGGAGTAGAATTTAGTGATCAATCACATATAACACAAGAGCCCTCCTTAATACCCATCACCCATCTGGCCCAT